ATGTATCATATCAGCTTGCTCTGATTTCATAGGCAAAGCACATTACATGTGAGACATTTATTAAACTTTAGTTTATGATCATTACATGAAAAATCTGACTAACTATTTAGCTAATCTAATCCTAGCACTGCTTACTTATATCCAAATACCAACTTATACCTTATGGGTGTGTCCATATTCAGGTTTGAGCTACTTGGAAGATTGCTAATTAATAGTAAGCATGTTAATTGTCACTAGATTTCTTATTACTTCACATCTCGAGCTCAAATATCCATGGTACCTGTGGTCTTACTTTCCTACACTTCCTAATAAATGCTCTGAGAGTTATTTCTATAATTGGCACATACTATCAAATCTGGAGGCTTGGTTGCTAACCAAGTGAAACACGATTCCTAAATCTCCTAGTAAACACTTCATAGGCTCTTAGTTGGCTTAGGCTACCAAATCTAGAGGCATAAATGCCAAGTAGGGTGCAATTCCTATAGAATAGCCACAAGCTTTATCCACATCTAAATGTCTATACAGTGATCTTCTTCAAAGTTGCCTAATTGGGTTAACACACTTTTGATGCTATAGAGACTGCCATGCCAAGGGGGTTTGTGGGCTTTTATCGAAGTTAGACCAAAAGTCTTTCCTTATACAACCTTTCCTGCTTCAACCTGTTTTTAATCCATAATCATCAGAAAGACCAAAGGTCCTATCTTTATGCAGCCTAACTGAATAAGGATTGGATCCAGATGTTTGAGTACAACACCTGTAGAAAATTGATAAATCCATAAATAAAGGATAAATTTATGCAATTTGCTCCCTATGGATATTAAACTAGAGACATGCATTTGAAGACCATGAAGCACTATCCACTGTGCTATTGACCCACTGGTCTCAAATATATATTTATTGTTTTTATTTAATTTTAAATAGAAAATATAATTATACAAGAATCCTTTTTACTAATCCTGTTATCAACCCAAAAAACAAACATTTTTGAAAAACTTATATGTTTTTTAATAATAAAGTTTAAATACTCTTCTTAATAACAAATTTTTCTTGAAGCAAATGTTTTCTCTCTTTTCATTTTATTTTTTTTTGAAAAACTTTCTGTGGTTTCAACAAAAAAATTATACAAAATATATCTGTAAAATCTATAGTATGAAAACTTTTTCTAGAAAAAAAAAACCATAAGAAAAAAAACACTCTAACTATTCTATCAAAGGTTTGAAGTTCAAGAAACTTTCTTTCAAGATTCAGGTCTCAATATTACTATTTTTATTTCTATCAAGATTTTTTTTTTGAAATTTTTGTTTATCTTAGTTTAACTTTGGATTGGTTGATTTTTTAGTAGCAAAAATATAAACAAGATATATTTTTTTCATATATTTTCTTTTATGAAATATTAAATTAATAATATAATTGATTAATTAGTTGAAGTTAAACAGTTTAAAGTTGAAGTAATAATCTAAAAGTATTATTTTTTTTAATATAATTTAATATTTTGTTCTAATATATAAAATATTTAAAAGATATATTAAAACTAAATTGATATCTTAAAAAAAAAAATTATTTTAATTTAATAAGAACTAGTTATTAACCCGTTGCTTTGCAACGGTAATTATTTGGTCACAGTATATAGGATCATGTGATTTGTGATGTCATCGACGTCAGATTATTTAATTGATTTAAAAATTTCATGATATACAACATTTTTCGTTTGATAATCTCTATTCACATTTACATTATTAGATATAAAAACCTTAATGCATCGATAAGAAGTAACCCTTGATAAAGCGACATATAGCTGACCATGTGAAAAAACCGACTGTGGTAGATATAGACCCACCCGACTTAATGTTTGACCTTGTGACTTGTTAATAGTCATACAGAATGCAATTCGCACTGGAAACTGTCGTCGCTTTAGGATAAAAGGCATATTTGTATCAGAAGGTGTTAATGTGACTTGAGGTATGTAAACACGCTTTCCAATATTTGATCCTGTGATTATTTCTGCATCTATAACTTTACTGTAAAGTCCATGGCAAATTAATCGAGTCCCATTACAAAGTCCCTCTGACAGGCTTAGATTTCATAGAAGCATAATCGGTGTTCCTAATTTTAATTTTAATTCACCCGGCGGAAGGTCAGAAATATTTAAGGACCTTAAAAATTCGGGAGAATATAATTGAGGCTGTTTCGCGTCATCATCCTCACTTAGATCCACAGAGTCTGCGCTGGGGTATGTGTGAACTTCACCATGAAATCGATTCATTATTAAATCAGAAATTTTTTCAACATCATCATTTTTTGGAGTTAAGATAGCTCTGCCAACCATATAATCTATGCTATTAAAATTTTCAGCTAAATTTGGATAGACGAAATCAATAATATCCGATAATTTTCCCCCAAGTATTACTATTTTCAAAGGAAATTCTATTATGTTTTCTGTGCCTGGGATAACTGGGTATTTACCATCTTCAATTCTTAAAAGAAATTCAGCAAAATTTTTTTGTTTTAGGTTTTCATAAACATCATCGGTCTGGCGAAGTCTCATGTTAATTGTCAATTTCATTACTCTCATATGTCTCCATAAAAATGATTGACTTAAGCTTGCTGAAACAACATTAGCGCAAGATGCATGTGATATAACAGGCAAAACTTGACGAAAATCCCCTCCAAAAATAAAGACTTTCCCTCCAAATGGTATATCTACCCTGTTGATATCACGAAATGTTTGGTTGAGCACTTCAAATGCAAACTTATGGACCATTGGAGCCTCATTCCAAATAAAAAGCTTTGCAGTGCTAATTAAACAGGCCTCCTTGCTCCTTCGTGAGATGCTGCATGTTGATGTTTCATTTAGTTTAAGTGGAATATAGAATCTATTGTGCGCAGTTTGACCACCCCTTATTAAAAGAGCAGCAATTCCAGAAGATGCCACCGCTAAAGCAACTTCACCATGTGATCTAACACTTGTTAGTAAGGTATTATACAAAAACATTTTTCCAGTACCACCTGGTCCATCTACAAAGAAACACTCACCTGTGCATTCAATTGCCTGCATAACAGCAATATATATTGTACATTGATCATCGTTCAATAGAGGAAGATTTATACGTAGCTCATTTTTTAGTTATACAATATCATACGATCTTTTTTCCTGGATTAATTGATCCAAATCTTCACCAACACTTAGCACCCTTTTCGGAGGTAATGGCATATTTGGAAAATCTTTTAGAGATTTTCTATTTGGTAACAGGTAACTTTCTAGTTGATTAAGTGCTTCACATTCGATTGAATCACTCACGCTATCATAATGGTTATGCATTATTTTACGATCTTTATACAAAATATCTTCACATAATACTAATTTGTGGTTATTCCATAATATTTTAGTGCTCCTTGGATAACAGAAAAGAAGAATCGTCGCAAAAAGGTGTCACAGTTGTTGTCCTGTCTGTATCTTACTTGCTTCATGCAAGCATGCATCCCATTCATCGTCATCTTGAAGGAAACCTAGGCAAATGCAAGCTTCTTTGAAGCTCCTACACACATATCCATTAACTGTTTTTAAATCATTAAAGTTAACCGCTCCTTTAATATGGGTAAGTAATATCCGCAGATAATATTTTTCTCCTTCCGAAAGTTGTACCATGTAAAGCCTTCCAATCATAGTTGTTTCAGTTTTTTGGGGTTTCCACTTACGAAGAGATACATCCCAAGTATAATGAATAGGAAACTCTACATATTTATATATATGTGCTGCAGTATTAACTATGTTCTCTTGGAACCAAGCAGTTAGGGTCGTTTTACACATGTTAGCACATTCTACAATACCTTTCAGGTCCTCTCCATCTTGAAAAGTAACATATTGTTGTTCCGGAAGATGAACTGTTAGTCTTTATACCTTTGGTGAACGATTATACATTTTGTAATGAAAAATTCTCCAGATACTTTCAGAAGCTGAAACATATCTCGCATCCAGGTACATTTTGATCTTATCAATTGGTTCTGTTTTTATTAATTTTTGTTGAGCATTATCACTTTCAGATTGGGAAAGAGTGATAGTTGCTCGATCATGGCCTTTGTAAACATACTTATATAAATATTTAACTGTCGATATAGAACTGCATATCTCGACATTAATATGTGCATTGTATTTTGTAACTAACCTAATATTATGTGGCACGACCCATCTGTTGTCTAGTTGAATTCCATCTCTAGATTTAATGAAATGACCAGTATCTCGCTTGCGGTAAATAGGGTACCCACTGTCACCTTCCTGAGTGCTTTTCTGAAAACTTTTAGGATAATGTTTTTTGCACATACCATCTTTCATACATGGTGCAGTTGGGTTCACTATACCACATGGACCATGCATCATCATGGTTGTTACTGTCTCATAAGCAAGAGGATGCGTCTCTGGATCTGGAATCTCAGCGGAAACGATAGAATCGTAATCATTTGTGGATCTTAACTTATCTTCTGGTGCCAGTATTAATAAGATATGCGTATAAGGTAGACCATGTTTTTGAAATTCTATTACATATACATATGCAATAACTCTACTGAGCCAACAATTACGACATAAATCTCTTAATAATTCCTGTAGTTTTATATGAAACACACAGATTGTTAAATCGGATCTGTCAACAGCGTTCTGATAAGATAATAATTCCCTGGTAACTTCTGGCCACTTTGGATTACATGTGAAAGTTACAAAAAGATCGGGTTTTCCAAAGTGACTTATGATGGCCATCGCATCTTGGTATAACTGATACATTTGATGTGGCCCACCAGTAAATAATGATGGAAGGATTATGTGGCGACCAACATTATTGTTGCCATCTTCAGTATGTATTGCATCCGTAATACCTTGGTATAATTCAGTTCGAAGTAATGCCTGGTTATATCTGATGTAATTTAAATGATTCTGCTCCATTTTAGCATATTGATCAACAATATACTGTTGATATAAACGGCCTGCACTCTGTATCCAATCTCCATTCCTAATTTGCAGCCTGTAACAGTAATATTGCATTGCTGTTACTTTATCTCTTTTCTTAGCACCTATGAGAGGTATGTCAAAATACCAACCATCGTCGCCTCTTGAGAATAGTAATACATAATAAAGTGGTTCATATGACGGACAAAATTCTAATATTCTTTGTAGACCTCCACTGCGCAACCTAAGAAGGATGTCTCGACTGGATGGTTCCACCTCATGACCATCACCAACCATAATTATAGCTACTTCAGAGGCTGTGGGAGGACCATACCGACCGGGATCTCGTGTTCGATCACTATGAATTAGCATTGAAAATTTGGTGGTCGTGTTTTTTTGAATGAGATCTCTTATTTAACGAAAATTTTGGATATATGGATTGCATTCATCTAACATATCCTGCAGATTCTTTATAATATCTTCATTCAATTCCC